AGTCCCGTCAAGTAGGACTATGGCACAAACATGAGAACTTAAACATGAGGGGGGTCTAGTTTTTGGTGTGTTTAGGTATTTTTGCTTGCTTGGTTTTTTTTTTGTTTGTGTTTTGTTTTTTAAAGAAGGTCGTAAATTGGATGTCTTGACAGAGACACATTCTAATATTTTCCCACACTGCAAGAGAGGATAAGGAAAAATAAGTATCATTATGGTATCTACAGAATTTCCCTACTATACTTCTCTAAAAATGTTAATTTTAATTGCCTTGATACTACAGTGTCAGACACATCATAAATATACAAGATATGTATATACCAATTGTTCTCAACCAGGGGTATGTGTACCCCTGGGGGTACTTAGAGGTCTTGCAGGGGGTACAATAACTCAACTAGATATTTGCCTCGTTTTACAACAGGCTACATAAAAAGCACTAGCGAAGTCAGTACAAACTAAAATTTCATACCGACAATGACTTGTTTATACTGCTCTATATACTATACACTGAAATGTAAGTACAATATTTATATTCCAATTGATTTTTTATAATTATATGGTAAAAATGAGAACGTAGGCAATTTTTCATTAATAGTGTGCTGTGACACTTTTGTATTTTTATGTCTGATTTTGTAAGCAAGTAGTTTTTAAGTGAGATGAAACTTGGGGGTAACGCAAGACAAATCAGACTCCTGAAAGAGGTAACAGTAGTCTGGAAAGGTTGAGAACCATTGCTATATACCATACACAGGTGTACAATATTCAAAACCTATTCTGAGGTATGACACAGAAAGCACATTATATCTGTCATCGTTTTAAAAATTGATTTAGTAAGATACCTAATCTATTAACGTATGTTGGGGTTGGTTTGTGAGAGTTTTGTTTTTATTTATTTATTTAGGCCATCTTGTCTGTAGATTTATTCATAGCTGCTGCCTTAGTCAGACTACACTTTTCGGACAACTTTCTGTAAATTTAATCTTTTATAGTGCCCAGTTGTTATGGTGACATTTTTGTGCATCAAATTAAATTAATATTTTGGAATGATTTTCTTAATTGAGCATTTGCTAAGATTTAGTTTACAACAGCAACAAATGTATTATGAAAGATTTTCTTCCAATATGTCACTACTGAAAGTATCATTGATATACTGTTTGATTCCGGCTTCCTTTCTGCAAAAATAATCTGTCTAATGAGATTTGTTCACAGATCTACACTGAAAAATGTTCTACATAAAAAAAAAAAAATCTGTATACCATGCTATATAGAGTACATAGTAAAGTATGCATACAAAATAGAGTTTCACTAAATGTATATCATCATTAGGAATATCAAGCAATAACACTGGACATAACAAAAAGGAAATCTGACCATATGAGCTATTTAATGTGTTCCTATTGGTATATTTCTAAGGCATTAGAGTAGTTCTGTTCCAAAGACCATTAGAAACCCTGGTAAGTCAAAGTTTATACTTTCACTGGATGGTCATCTCCAATACCAAAAAAAAAAAAAAGGAAATTCAGTATTGTCTAGAAGCTGGATCATAGTAATGTGAACATAGATTTCTGGGTATTATTGCCAGCTCTACCGTTGACTTGCTGGGGCACTTTGGCAAAGTCACTGTCTGTGTTTAACTTAACCATCTATAAAAGGAGCATAGCAGCATCCAGCAGGATCAAGAGATTTTATTCATGTTTGTAAAGCACTTTAAGATACTTGGGTGGAAATGCTGTGAATATAAACTATTAATTTAAGATGTAACTTTATTCCATAGTATCTTTCCTGAATTTTTCCAACAATTTTACCAATATTCCATCTCTGATGGAGAAAGACTAATTTATTATGCTTGTCTCTTTATTCCATTTCCTAACAAGTCTATTTTTTCCGGCAAGAATACCAATTAACTAGAAATTAATTCAATATGATGGTAGTCAGAGTTTTTACATTTACAAAAAAATCTTGTTACTGTGAATTCAATATGCTATTGTTCAGTATACTACTGTGTGAGGGATACAATTTAAATGATCTCTGGCACATGCATGCTAGGCTGAAATAACATACAATATCACAATTCTTTCTCTTAAGTTATACATTTGCATTAACCACTGGATGGCACAGCTATATAATCAGACTGGATTCTGTTTATGAGGTTTGTTTTACCCTCCCACCCTTACCACCTCAGGCAGTAGAAAGACACAGGCTGTGGGATGAGGTAATGGAAGTTTATTTTACTGGTGGAGGAAAAGTGAAGAAAATCTTCTATTTTCCTACAGCACTTTTAACTTGTGACCTTTCTCTTCACGAATACCTCCTCTTTTGAGTGTCTATGTGCAATTTACAAAATTTAGTTTTAAGACATCTTTGATGAGCACAGGTTTAGAATTAATTCAGTTAGTTATAACAAAAACTGTATGCTTGTCTGCACTCTTTATTACATAATGAGATTTCTCTACTAGTAACAAAATATTAACTGGTTAAAGATTAACCTACCCCCAGGAGAGAGAATCTCATCTGAAACAAATTCCAAACATTATAATCAGCAAGTCATACCACGGTTTTTGGGCAGACAATCCAGTTTTCCTAGTTACTTCATCCAGCATCCTCTTCCCTTTCTCCCCCCGTCGGACCACCACCACTGGTGTTAAAAAATTTAAACAGACATTCCGTGACGGTCATGATGAGTAAAACATTTTCAGGAAATTAACTGAACAATTTTAGCTGACAGATTCTTTAAAAAGAAAAAAAAAAACACATAACTCTAGCTAAAATAAAATGTTTTCTCCAAAATATATCCAAAAAAATAATGCATTTACTTGGAATTAATTTCTTCCTTGTCTCGTCCTCAATCTCTCTACCATTTTTCCAACTTTAATTATTTTAAATTACAAAATTTCAATTACATTGATTATAAACTATCATATTCAGGGAATATGAATTATGGGACCAGATTTTTTTCTTCCATTTTGTTTTCCTGTTGTCAAAGATTACATTTTCTAACATTGCTTTAAGTTATTCAGTGCACTTTCAAGTAATTCAGAAGGTAATAAAAAGCACTATGTTTACAGATTTAGAATGACTGCTCTCATGCATAAGAGCAAATATTTTCATTCGTGAAATAATACATAAATGAAGAGCTACCAGTCTCCTGTTATGATTTTTGAAAAATGCAGCCTTAACAGTTGAAAAAGAAAGTCAGTCAGTCAAGTATAGAGTATTTATACATCACACAATTATAAGTGGCCATAAAATTATGTGGCTTGCACAGGCCATGCTAAATGCATGCTAATAATGTACTCCTGTTCCTCCTCTTTAAAAAAAAAAAAAAAAAAAAACTAGAACAACTATATGTGTCATTCTAAACATTTAAGAAAATAAAATTGCACTTTTTAAAAGTTCCATAATCTCATTCAATTCAAATATGCTTTATCCTCTCAGAAATTTTAAAGGTAACAGTTTGTAATTCAGCTCCATTCTCATTAGAATAGAGCAAAAGGTATTAGAAAAGCTAAATAAATTACACAACTGTGAAAGATACCCCACCTGGTGTTACATCCACCTTTAAAACAATATTTTCTATTTGTATTAATATTTTTTCAAAACCTGTTTACTTAACTTTCACGAGAGTGACATAATTCAAAACACAGTGGAACAAAATGCAAGAGATTTCATCACAAGAAACAATACAAATGTATAACAAATCCTAACCCTAACACAAACATCATCAAACATTACTACTCATGTGTATCTAATAAGTTACTGTTTTCAAAACTAAGATTTTTCACCTAAAATAACCTCTAAATCTTTTACCTTAAGAGTACACTACACTATTAGGTGTATTATTTTAGTGATATGGTATGGATAATATATATCAGTTCAAAAAACTGCACTGCAATACTCCAACTAAAATGGAAAAATATTAGAAAAATATCTAGATCAAATTAGAATATAGCCATTATTTAAAGGACTCTGATATTCAAAAAACTCCAGAAATTGAAAGTTTTCTTGCAATTCTGAAACCTTCCATTTTATGAAAGCTCACTATGCTAAGTAGCAAAACACTGTCCTATTCCTGAAAAATCTGAAATGCTTCAGATGAGCTGAAAGCTCGTTTTTGTTTGTTTAAAGTCTTTCCAGTAGCCCACGACATTCAAGATTACCTTGAAACCTTTTACAACCTCTTTTACAGTTTTCACTGTAGAGCAAGGCTTTATTTCAATACTAGTAATGCTAACAGCGTTTAGAGTTAGGATGCTGCTGGTGAAACCACAGAACTGCGAAGTGATGTTGTTAGAGACAGAATTTGACACCTGTATTAATAATAAGTGAGATTTTTACGAACTGAGAGTAACTCAAGATGAATTTTGCAAGAGATTCAGGTGACACTAGAGCTCAGTCTCCACCGCTTTATGAAAGAATCCCTTCCCACCCCAAGAGGAGCTCGGTTTGCAAGCCCTGACATCTGCAGACAGCAGAGAGTTTATCCACATCTGGGATTGGAAGTGCTAGGGAACAGCAACGGGGAGGGGGTGGGGAGTAAGTTTCAGAGCCAGGACATTTCAAGTGTTCTCTCTGGGGACCGTTCCTAACGCGGTCTCTTAGGGGCCGCTTTGAGGAGAAGCGCAGAACCTGGAACATCCCAGCAGGAGCAGCCATGCTACGCCCCCCACCCCGGGGTCAAACAGCAAGTGGCCCAGCTCCTGGGGGGTCCAGCAGAGGAGAGTCCACAGCTGGAGTCCCCGCCTGCGTCCCAGCCCTTCCCAGCAAGAGGGGCAGTCCCCGGGCCAGTGGCTGGGCACCCCCTGCCAGGGGAGAGACCAGCCGCCTCTCGCCAGGGGGACCCGCTGGAGCCCACTGCGGGGACGCGGCTTCCCCAGCGCCACACGCACCTCCCGCCCCCGCTAGCCCAGCAGCGGCAGACAGCGCTCCCCTCCCGCGGCCCCAGCCCCCGGCGACCAGCGCCTTCCCCGGCCCGGGGCTCCCCCACGCCCGCGCACCCCGCTCACCTTGCAGCATGGCCTCCAGTTTCTTCCTGTCCACCCGGAATCGCTCCTCGCCCCACTCGGGGCTGCGCAGGGGCCGTGGGCCAGCCGAGTCCTCCTCGGAGCCGGGCAGCGGGGAGTCGGCGCTCCGCTCGCTGTTGGAGCCCGGGTCGGAGAGCGGCTGCGGCAGGTAGCCGCTCAGCGGGTCGCACTGCGCCGCCATGGCGCTGCCGGGCGGCCCCCGCCTCTGCTCCGAGCCCCACTCGGCCGCTTCCCCGCGGGACGCTATCTGCCCCCACAGCCGCCCCCGCGCCTCATCCCAGCCGCTGCCTGCCAGAGTCCCGGCCCCGGCGCCGCTGCCTGCGCCCGCCTCTCCCTCCGGCTCCCCGCCGAGTGCGCCAGTCCCCGGGCCGGCCGCGGCTCTGCGGCGCCCCCACCCCGCCCGCAGTCCGCACAGCATCTCCGCCTCCATTGGGCAGCCCGCGGCCCGCCGGGAGGGGCAGGGGATATCCCCGGGCTGGGGGAGGGGGCAGGGGATCCCGGGGGAGGGAGACCCTCGGCATGGAGGTGGAGTGAGCCTGGGGGCGCGGGGCCGGGATCCCGGTGAGGGGCACCCAGCACTGGCCACTGGGATCCCCGGCCCCTCCTGGGAGCGCGGGACTCACCCCATCATCGGGGGCAGGAGATCCCCATCCCAGAGAGACCCCATCACCATGGAGGGTGGGGGGAACACGCTACAATGTGAGCACGGGATCTCCAACCCCGGGAAGACACCCCATCGGTGGGACAGAGAGATGCTTATCCTGGGGGGCACCCCTTCATGGGATGGGGGATCCCCTGGAAAACGGAGTCGGTGACACCATCATTGACAGGGGGGTCAACATCCCAGAGGGAGACACCCCATCATTAGAGTATGGGGATCTTTATCCTGCATGGGAGACACACCCCATCCTGAGGCAGAGGGATCCCCATCCTCTTGGGGTGAGTAGTCTACCGTGGAGAGTAGGGTAAACCTCCCCCTAGGGGAAGACACTTCATCAGGGGGGGGGGGGGGGGGGGGGCAACCAGAGGGAATACCCTGGGTGCACTCCATCATGGGGATCCTTATCTTAAGGGAGACACTCCACAATGGACATAGAGGGATCCCTGTTGTGGGGGAAGAGACCCCATAATGAGAGTATGGGTGATTCCCATCTCAGGGGGAGATACCCATCATGATGGCACAGGGAGACCCATCCTGGAGGGAGCCACCCATGGCAAGGGGGCAGAGGGATTTTCATCCGAGGAGGAGGGGCAGGAGGATCCCAGCAAAAGTGGAGATACCCCCTTATTAGGAAAGAAGGGCTCTATATCCCCACCTGGCGAGATGCCGCAGCATAGGGGCAAGCAGAAATAGGACATCCTCAGAGAAGTCAGTGAATAGTATTAGAACCACAAGGTGTGGGGACTCTATGTCAGTACATTGACTGCCTGCAGGGTTGGGGCCATAGTCTTCTCGAACAGTAAGCACACGCTTCAATGTCTGTAGGATCAGGGCTCATATGACTATATCATTTAGGAAGGAGAAGAAAAAGAGCAGATATAATAAGATGATATAAAATGATGAACAGTGAAAAGGTCAACTGCCTGATCTCACTTAATCTGCTCCAAAATAAAAATTAAGCAATAACAAAATTAAAGGGATGTCACTTTAAAATTGGCCCCTAATCTAAACTTTCAGAACCTAAGTGCCATAAAAAATGTTTCTACATTGCATTTGCAGTTTTGAAAACCCAAACAATGCAGAAGGTGTAACAAACAAACAAACAAACACCCTGAAAATGACTTCACTGATTTTTCATTGTTGAAACTGAGAGAAGTGCAAACAGTAAATAAAAAGCATTAGTAGTGGGACATAAACTAAATGTATAAATGCCTTTCACTTTTGATACTCTAACTTGTAGTAATATAGGTGAAGAAAAGTGTTTTTTTACAACACATGGGGACACAGCAGGTGATGCAAATTAGCATAACTCCAGCTAAGAAACTGTCCCAGGATTTTTAAATTCAACATATCCTTTTAAGCGAATAGCTTATCAAGGTTCAGTAAAATAATACGCATTTATATGAATAAGAATGTATCTGTGGTTACACTAGTTAGGATTAAAAAAATAAGGGTTATCAATCCTCAAACTTCAGGGCATAACTGATTGCCCTCTAGATCAAGGAAAAAAGCTATATAATAATATATTCAAGGCTTGTCTATATGGAAAAGTTATAACAGTATAAGGTAAACTGTGATTGTGGCTATGTCTACACTACAGCGAGGTTCCGACCTAAGATACGCAACTTCAGCTACGTGAATACCGTAGCTGAAGTTGCGTATTTTATGTCGGCTTACCTGGCGGTGAGGACGGGGGAAAGTCGACCGCTGCCGCGCTGCCGCCGACTCCGCTGCCGCCTCTTGCCGAGGTGGATTTCCGGAGTCGACGGCAGAGCGATCAGGGATCGATTTTACCGCGCCCTCACGAGACGCGGTAAGTCGATCCCCAATAGACCGATTGCTACCCGCCGGATCGGCGTGTAGTGAAGACATACCCTTAGTTTATGTCTTTTTGGAAGCAGTTTAAACAAAACTGGAAAAAGCCATTCTTATTCCAGAATAAAAGTGTCCACACAGGGAGTTATACTGGTATAACTACAGAGATTTAACTATATTGGTGTAATTATACTAGTATAACTGGAAACATTTCCCATGTTGACAAGCCTTCAGCTGATGTACCTGCCCTTCCACAATATGTACTGTGGACTCAATTCATTATATGCCAGCAGGAGGATAGAATGGATCATTTAAAATACTTTTCTGTCTATAACATCTATGATTCTACGATATGATGGGAGATCATCACTATGGGTACATCTACACTTACCGGAGGGTCCGGCGGCAGGGAATCGATGTTCTGGGATCGACTTATTGTGTCTAGTGAAAACGCGATAAAATCGATCCCTGATCGCTCTGCCATCGACTCCGGAAATCCACCGCGGCAAGAAGCGGCAGCGGAGTCGGCGGCAGCGGTCGACTTTCCCCCGTCCTCACAGCCAGGTAAGTCGACCTAAAATACGCAACTTCAGCTACGGTATTCACGTAGCTGAAGTTGCGTATCTTAGGTCGGACCCCCGCTGTAGTGTAGACCCAGCCTCAGATGATTGGCAATGATCAGTTGTACATGCTGATGCTTTAAGTTCTGACAGTAACTTTTGAAACCACTGCGTGTGAAGTTTTGTTATCTTGATTGTAGTCCTTGGATGGTCTAGAGGACACTAATGCTGTTCTAGAGTGGTTCCTTTCTTTCTTATCTGAGGGTATGTCTACACTACGAGGGTAATTCGATTTTACTTAAATCGAATATGTGGAATCGATATTGCAAAGTCGAACGTGTGTGTCCACACTAAGGACACACTAAGGACAGTAATTCGACTTTGTGAGTCCACACTAACGGGGCGAGCGTCGATATTGGAAGCGGTGCACTGTGGGCAGCTATCCCACAGTTCCCGCAGTCCCCGCTGCCCATCGGAATTCTGGGTCGAGCCGCCAATGCCTTCTGGGTAAAAAAAATTTGTCGTCATCCGTCCGTCACTAACGCCCTCCCTCCCTCCATGAAAGCGCCGGCGGGAAATCAGTTCGCGCACTTTTCTGGTCAGTGACAGCGCGGACGCCACAGCACTGCGATCATGGATCACGCTGCGACCATCGCTGCACTTCTGGCCGTTCTCAACACCTCGAAGCTTATCATACACCTTTCCCTGAGGCAGATGAAGAGTAATCAGGCGAGGAGGCTACGACACCGCCGTGATGGCCTGAAGTCGGAGAGTAGCACAGAGCTGTCAGAAACCACGAGCCCCAGCGCCCAGGACATCACGGTGGCAATGGGTCATGTGGATATCGTGGAACGGCGATTCTGGGCCCGGGAAACAAGCACGGACTGGTGGGACCGTATAGTGCTTCAGGTCTGGGATGAATCCCAGTGGCTGCGAAACTTTCGCATGCGGAAGGGGACTTTCCTCGAACTTTGTGAGTTGCTGTCCCCTGCCCTGAAGCGCCAGAATACCAGGATGAGAGCAGCCCTCACAGTTGAGAAGCGAGTGGCCATAGCCCTCTGGAAGCTTGCAACGCCGGACAGCTACCAGTCAGTCGCGAACCACTTTGGTGTGGGCAAATCTACCGTGGGGGTTGTTGTCATGCAAGTAGCCAAGGCAATCGTGAAGGTACTGCTCCCAAAGGTAGTGACCCTGGGAAACGCGCAGGTCATCATAGATGGCTTTGCCGCGATGGGATTCCCAAACTGCGGTGGGGCTATCGATGGGACTCACATCCCTATCCTGGGACCGGACCACCAGGCCAGCCAGTACATCAACCGAAAGGGCTACTTTTCAATGGTGCTGCAAGCACTGGTGGACCATCGGGGACGTTTTACAAACATCAACGTCGGATGGCCGGGCAAGGTTCATGACACTCGCGTGTTCAGGAACTCTGGTCTGTTTAGACGGCTGCAGGAAGGTATTTACTTCCCAGACCACAAAATAACTCTTGGGGATGTGGAGATGCCTACAGTCATCCTCGGAGACCCAGCCTACCCGCTAATGCCCTGGCTCATGAAGCCCTATACTGGCGCCCTGGACACAGAAAAAGAACTGTTCAACTACCGGCTGAGCAAGTGCAGAATGGTGGTGGAGTGTGCTTTTGGCCGTCTCAAAGGGAGATGGAGAAGCTTACTCACTCGCTGTGATCTCAGTGAAACCAATATCCCCATCGTTATTGCAGCTTGCTGTGTGCTCCACAATCTGTGTGAGAGCAAGGGGGAGACCTTTATGTCGGGGTGGGAGCTAGAGGCAAATAGCCTGGCTGCTGATTACGCCCAGCCAGACAGCCGGGCGATTAGAAGATCACAGCGGGACGCCCTGTGCATCCGGGAGGCTTTGAAAGCTAGGTTCCTGAGTGAGCAGGGCAACCAGTGACTTTTCAGTTTGTGGACAGAAAAGCTGAACCTGCCCCCGTTTCTTTACCCAGTTCATTTTGACTATCCTCTCCAGTTACATACCCCCTTCACCCCCTTCCCCTTCCCAAAAAATAAAATCAGTTCTATTTTGTTAATGAACACCGTTGTCTGTATTGCTGTTTTCGCGGGAATATTTTAAACCGGGGACGCAGACTGTGGCGGGGGCCGGGTTTAGTGTTCTGATGCAAATGATGCTTCTAAACTCCCGGAATGACAGACTCCGCACTGGTGGACTGGTTATTTCAATGGAGCCTGCCAGCACTCCTGGGGGGGACTGTGTGTATGTGTCGGCTATGTGACTTT